CCCGGTGCAGGTGGAGGTTTGGTACCAGGTGCACAGGACGGGAGTGCAGAGGGAGAAAGGCCTGAGGGGTGAAGGAAAGGAAAAGGAAAGGAAAGGAAAAGCAGGCGCCAGCTCCGGCAGCCCCGGCAGAGGCTGGGTGGGTCTGGCGGGAACTCAGTTCTTTTCATTTTTCTATCCACCCACTTAGCCCACCAACAAAACTGTCATGAGTGTCAGTGGCTCCAGTGTGGCTCTGGGCCCCTGTGGGGCTGCAGCTCCTTCCTGCCCTGTCTCTTTCTGGGGGAGCTGAGGCGGTGCTGGACCTGGGACCGGAGAGGCCCCCTCGCCCAGGAAGCTGTGCTCTGCCCACAGTGGGCTCAGTGAGCTCAGTGGGCTCATGCCCAGCGGTGGGCTCATCCCCAGCAGCCTGGGCCCACCTGCCTGTAAAGCCAGTAGTTACCCTGGCTTTTTACCTCCCAGGCTCTGCTCCCCAGAGGCTGCAGCTGGAGGCCGACAGGGGCAGTGGCCCCAGCTGAGACACAGAGCCCCTGCCAACGGCACCCCGTTGTGCGAGGGCCCCCAGGGCTTGGGGAAAACAACCCCCTCGGAGCAGGGCTGACCCCGAAGGGATCCCCTCCACCCAGGCCCAGCACCCACTCCCAGCTCGTAAACCTGCCCTGAAAGGAGCACGCCCAGTCCCTCCTCCCAACGCCCCGAGGGGCTTCGCCGCACCCTGGAGAGGAACTCGGGACACTTTGGGCAAAGAAGAGCCAACTTCTCGCCAAGGAATGAATGTTGGGGAGGGTTTAGCCTCACAGCCTGGAAGTGACTTGTCAGCAGCCAGGTAGACTTTCGTCTAAAAGGAGGCTCTTCAAGGCAGCGCAGAAGCACATTTTTTCAGGGGTGGGAGCGGAAGAGAGAAACCAGTTTGGATGTTCAGGTCCAGGCGTTCCCACCCTTAGATTCGTGCCTATGTCTGCTGGGTCCCTCAGAGGAGGGGGTGGGTTTGGGTGCTGAGCACACAGTGCAATATACAGGGCTCGTAACAGAAACCCACAGCTGAAACCTGTATGACCCTATTAACCAGTGTCACCCCAGTAAATTTAATGAAATAAAAAGAAAGCAGGAAGTGGGGAACATGGCCGTGCCTCAGAGTCGGTCCCCGAGGGCCAGGCATGTTTCTGCTGCACCCAGGCTGAGTCTTAGCTGAGTCGGAGCTGCCTGGGGGAGGGTGTAGGGCCCCGAACACCCTCTCCTCTCACCTCAGACAGCCGGTGGCATTGAAGAAGACCTCAGGGTCCACCGTCTCCCGGGACATGTTGCTGTTCCCGTCGCACCAGCCGGAGAAGGGAATGATGACTCTGTCGGCCAGGACCGGCAGGGCGTCGGTGATGAGCTCCTCCTTCAGCTCGTCCGTGGAAGACAGGTTCCAGAGCAGCCCTGCGGGCGGGATAGTCGACGCGACTCACACAGGCTCAGGAAGACACTGGGGACCGAGGGGCCACCCCAGCCTACTCTGGCCAATGAGCCTATGGAACGTCAACTTGCACCTAGACCTGGTCTATGGCCTCTCCTGTCCCATCGTTTCATGAGCTTTCTTTGTAGGTCAAAATGATGCACATGGAAGGAAATCAAAAACCACTGCCCAGCCCGGCTGGTGTGGCTCAGTAGGTTGAGTGTCGACTCGCGAACCAAGAGGTCACTGGTTTGATTCCCGTTTCAGGCTCGATCCCCAGTAGGGGGCGTGCAAGAGGCAGCTCATTGATGTTCTCTCTCATCAATGTTTCTATCTCTCTCTCCCTCTCCCTTCCTCTCTCTCTAAAATAAATTTAAAAAATAACAACAAACAAAAACCCATTGATCCGTGGTTTTCAATATGAATGATAATATTCAGAATCTCCTAGTGTTCTCTGTTTTCTACCTGAAAGTCACTCCAGAAATACTTATCACTGTTACTCTGCCCACGGTCTCAGATTCCCTGTCCAGTCGAGGGCTGTGTAGTGACTGCGTTTCTGAGCCCTACCCTCAGCCCTTAGCATGTTTTTTGGACACAGGGTAGATGCTGCAGATCTGTCGGCCCCTGTCCCCTTCACCTACAAACCCTCAGGTCTGCTAAAGATGAATCCCATCTGGGCACTAGCCTGCCACCCCTTGCCCCCTGTGAGCAGGCACAACGCCCAGGGTCACCACCTGGACACCACGAGGAGCCTGGCCACAGCTGGTGCCACGGGTGCCCAGGGTATCAGCCTACACCTGTGCTTGGCCCCGCCTGAGGGAGACCCACACAGCGGTCTTGCTCCCTCCCCCCGGCCGGGCTCCCTACCAGTCAGCTGTTTCTGGATCTCGGTGTTCCTGGTTGTCCTCAGGAGGCTGACGGCCTCACGGATCCCGCCCTGCCTCCGCGTCTCCAGCTTGTTGGTAGTGCTCCGGAAAACCAGGTTGCGCAGGGCCCCGGTCGCAGCCTGCTGCACGTTCTGGTTGGGGCTGCGGAGGAGGTCCACCAGCTTGCAGATGCCTCCCAGCTGATAGACCTGGGGGACAGGGGCACCACGTCGCCGGTCAAGGAGGTGGCTCTCCGACCACAAACCCTACTTTCAGTTCAGAAACATCCACGTCAACCCACATAAATGAGCGGTGTGGCCGAATGGTAATGGACCAGGCCGGGAGCCAAGACGGGCACTCAGACCCTGACTCCCCCACCTCCTAGCAGAAACGCGCAGTGGGCACTCCTCCCTGAGCCCCACCTTCCTCCTCAGGAGTACGGTGCTGAGGACCAGATAAGAAATGTCCGCTCAACCAGAGGGCTTTGCCCTGCACAGAAGGTCAAGATGCCTAGCTCTGATCTTGGGCAATGCCAAGCACACCGCTTGCCCCAGGCAGTTGGGCAGGGTGAGAAAGAGCCAACTACAAATGCCCCCACCCATCCCTAAGTGCAGGCTCAGGCTGCCCAGACCAATGGGGGGAGGGGGAGGGGGAGGGTGCAGCCAGGTACCTGTTGCTTGGCCGATTCGTCCTGGAAGCAGGTGTGCTGGATGTAATAGGCCCCGATGGCCTGAAACTTCTCATCCTGGGAGCTCAGGTACTGCACAGCCTTGGGGATGGTCAGCCCGCTGCACTCAATGTCCTCGCTGCAGATCCTGCGAGGAACGGCCATGAGGGTGGGTTAGGGGCCCTGGATTTGGAAGTCACCTTGGCACACCCGGCTGTCACAGCCTCATCTGCCCTCCAGAGGGCCAGAACAAGGAGCTCCAGGTCCACCTGGAGAACACCTCTGTGGAACAGCTCCTCCAGGGGAGGGACAAGGCTCACCCCATGGTGGACACTCGCTGAGATGAGGACCTGGTCGTGGGTTAATATTCAGGCAGGAAGGTACCTCTGCCCTATTCTCGAAGGAAGCTCCCCACCTACTCTGCCATGTCTCATACCTGTGCTCAGTATTGGGTAATGGAAACGAATGGCCGTGAGCCTGTCCACCCATCTATCCATCTTCCCTCTTTCCCTCCATCCATTATCCATCTGTCATTCATCTTTTCTCCATCCATCCATCCATCCATCCATCCATCCATCCATCCATCCACCCAACTTCTCTCCAGCCATCCATTAATCTATCCATCTATCCAACCAACTCATTCATCCATCCATCCACCCATTATCCATCCATCATCCACCCAACTTCTCTCCATCCATCCATCCATCCATCCATCCATCCATCCATCCATCCTCTCTCCTTCCCTCCATTCCCAAGTCTAGCTAATTCTTCTTACACAAAAATTCTCACATCTATTCTTTCTTCCTGTCCTCAGGGTCATTCCTTCCTTCTGACCATGACCACGCTCATCGAGATTGCAGCGAGAGACCCCACACCTGGCTCTCTTCTCCAAGTTCCCTACTCAACATCTCACACCTGTTTACCAGCTCGGCAGTCCTGAAACCCTGTTCACAGTGTGGTTCCTATTAGCGGTTTCCCTGTGCGGCTGGGTCAAGGTCAAACCATTTAGACTGATATCCAAGGGCAATTGTTAGGTTGAACTGTATGAAATGGCTGTCAACCTTTTTTTGAGCCACAAACCCAGCAATTTCTTATTTTAACCCAATATAGTCTGGCTCTGCTGTGCCTGACTCTGCAGGGTCGGCTCCAGCAAGGCTGTGGTCTTCACCACGCCCCTTCCCCATCAGGACACATCCCTAACCTCTTTCAGAAAACAGACTGTGATGCCTGAGATCAGAGGTTCTCAAACTCTGCGTGAATCACCACCCCTGCTGGGCTCCTGACGTCACTCAGGGCCGGCCCCTCCCCCAGGGCCCTGAGTCAGCAGGTCTGGGCCAGGACTCGGGAATTAGCATTTCTCACAAGTTCCCAGGGCTGCTGCTGTGGCTACTCCAGGAACACAGGTTGAGAACCACTGGCCTAGTTCACCTTTAATTAGCCTCCCTGTGCTCACGACCTGCGACCCTTCAAAACCTACATACTCGGTACATTTGTTTTAGGGTCTGGGTTCTGTGTGTGGGCTCTTCATACTGGGAATTCCCCCCC